ATAAACAAAAGGGGGAAATGAAGAATTGAAAAAAGTCAATGCAGAAACTAGATCTAAGAGACTCATGGCATCTTTTAAAGAACATATGCATTTCTCAGCACCATATGGGACTTTTACAAAAATTGACCATGTATTAGGACACAGAGTTATTGGAAATAAATTTTAAAAAAGAAGAAAAATAAACATATCCTTTGCAACCCATAATACAAAAAAAAATGTAAACAATAAAGCACAAAAGATCCATACTGAAATGAAGACTTAATAATGAAATCCTAAGTAACAATTGGGTCAAAGAACAACTCATATAAACAATGTGAAAGATGATGATGAAGCAATATACTATTTACATTGTTATAATCATATTGATTTATTGACTGCTTACTTTACTATGAATCAGGTCATTTAAGTCTTTCCATACTTTTGCATTTATCATTTGTCATATTATGTTGTATTCATTGTTTTTATACCATAATATTATTCCATTATACTCATGTACCACAATTTGCGGTACATAATGGGCATCTACTGTTTTTCTTCTAGTTCTTTGCTACCACAAGAATGCTGCTATAAATATTTTGGTGTACATGAGGACTTTCTTATCAGTAGCCTTCTTGGAGGTATATGCCTAGTAGTAGAATCTCTGTGTCAAAGGATATGGATATTTTATTCACTTTCTTTGCATAATTCTAAATTTATTTCCACAATGGTTGTGCCAATTCACAACCCCACCTATAATCCATTTGTATGCCTATCTTTCCACAATCCCTCCAGCATTGACTGTTCCTATCTTTTATCATCCTTGTCAATCTTCAGGGTGGGAAGTGAAGCCTCAGGGTTGTTAATGGTATGCAATTCTTTTGAGAATTATTTGTTTATATCCTTTGATCACTTATTTATTGGGAATGGCTCATGTTCTTATATATTTCTATAGTTTCTTTATATTTTGGATATCAAACCTTATAATAGATATTTGATATATTTTTCCCAGTCAATGACTTCCTTTCATACCCTACTTGAAATGCTTTATCTATGCAAAAGCTTTTCAGTTTCATGTAGTTATCTATTTTGTCTTTTATAATTGTCTCTGTCCCTTATTTGGTTAAGAATTCAACCTCTTGGCAAAGAATTGAGAGGATGCCCATCAATTAGGGAATGGCTGAACAAGTTGTGGTATATGAATGTAATGGAATACTATTGTGCTATGAGAAATGATGAACAGGCTGACTTCAGAAAAACCTGGAAAGACTTGTATGGTCTGATGCTGAGTGAAGTGAGCAGAACCAGGAGAACCTTGCACACAGTAACAGCAACACTGTGCGATGACTAACTTTGATAGACTTAACCCTTCTCAGCAGTACAAGGATCTAAGACATCTCCAAAGGCCTTATGATGGGAAATGCCATCCACAAAGAAGAAAGAACTATGGAGTTTGAATGAAGATCGAAGCATACTATTTGCTACTTTTTTTGTTCTGTTGGGTTTTGTTTCCTCTTTTTGGTGATTCCTCCTATTGGTTCTAATTCTTCCTTACAACATCACTAATGTGAAAATATGTTTAATAGGAATGTATATGTATGGCCTATATCAGATTGCGTGCTGTCTTGGGGAAGGAGGGAGGGAGGGGGAGAAAAATTTAAAACTTAAAAGCTTTTGGAAGTGATTATTGATAATTCAAAATAATTTAAAATAAAAAAAATACAAACAAAAAAAATTCAACCTTTACTCATTGCTGTGAAAGTATCTATGCTTCTTAGAAAACAAAACCAAACCAAACCCTATATAGCCTCAGAAACTAATTCTGGGTAAGAATTATGAAAATAGCAAGTACAGAAGCCATAATGGCTCCTTTTCAATATTTCAATGCATCCATGCTCTCCCTGTTGTGGGGTACTCCAAGGGCACAGATCCCAGTTCATCTACATCTTTCTCATCCTCTGTAGTTCTTATTCATATTGTTGCTGTTGTTGTTCAGTTGTTTGAATCATTTCCAACTCTTCATGACCCTATTTGGGGTTTTCTTGGCAACAATAATGGAGTAGTTTATTATTTTCTTCTTCAGCTCATTTTACAGTTGAGAAACTGAGGCAAACAGATTAAGTGACTTGCGTAGGGTCACACAGTTAGTGTCTGAGGCCAGATTTAAACTTAGGAAAAGTGAGTCTTCCTGACTTCAAGCCCAGCATTCTATCTACTGCACTATCTAGCTCCCCCATTCTAATCCAGATCCTCTCCTAAATCTTAAGGATCTTTCTAAAGCACCTATAACCCACGATTGCCTTTATAGAGTTTAAAACATCCAATGGTTTCAATGCAGTGGTTTTCAACTTTTTTTTTTTTGCTCTCGACATAGTATTATTGCAGCATGCTCAATGTTTAAGTTGGCAACACTATAGGAGAGTCCAGTGACTCATCTGTGAGTGCCATACAATTTGGAGCACACCTCCAATGGAGAAACTCATTGCATGCTAATGTGTATCAGCATATACGTTGAGAACCACTGATAAAGAGTGTGGCTATAAGATTAATTATATTTTGAGGCTACTTCATGAACATCATTGGGGAATACCACATTACCATTGATGATTGGATCAGTATTTCCCTCAGCTTGCATATATTTCAATTTCCATTAAGATTAGCAGTATAATATATTGGGAAAATGTTGGATTTGCAATCAGCAGAGAGCTGTGGCCGTAAGCAAGTCACTTAACTTCTCTGAATCTCAGTTTTTTCATTTATAAAATGGAGGTAATAATAGCATAGGGTTTTTTGAAAAGCTCAATAAAAATGTATGTAAAATTGCTTCGTGCTGGAAAACATACCTTATTGAAAATAATTCCCATCGCAACCTGTATGTGGAACACATCACTCTACACCATACTCTGTTAAAATTAAAAATTCTAATTCAAAGAGAAAAAGTAATTTGCCCTATTAGCAGCAGATATTTCTCTTGTCAGAGCCAATAGTAGTATTTATCCTTTTGAGCAGATCAATGAGACACCTAGTCAGGCTCAACTATTCTAATTTTAATCAGCTGGTAATTTTTTATATCTATAAAGATACTGATATAGAAAGTTAATTTTTATTGAATAAATTAAGAGCAAGTTTCATTTAATATGACCAGGAGACCCTCACTCAAATAACTGAAAATATGAAGCTTTTATTTAATAATTACTATCCTGCATAACAGCAAATAGACTCCTAAAACCATTCTGTGCTAGGAAGATGTTTGAGTAAGGCAAGACCACCTGCAGATAGCAGGCTGACAGAAGAAGCATTAATTGTATTAGAGGATAAGATTTCTAAACTTGCCTAGTAGTTTATTTTTATTGGTCAAAGCAGTAACTTAGTAGGAGGCAAACTTGCCTGCTGTATTAATGCATGGAGCCAGACTCTAGATAATTATGATATAAGGTCAGCATCCTCTTAAATATCTAAAATACTTTAGCTTTATTTCCTTATTTTAATTGAATAGGCCATTAATTTAGCACATTTTCTTCCAGAAGTCACAGGTGACAATTGACTTCCCCCCTATATAATTTACACATGCTCCCTTCACAAAAAAGAGGCTTTGTTTTGTGCAGAGACTTTGACCAAATAGAGCTGCCACTACATTTGAAATTGATTAATATAATTGTGTTATTAAACTACCACAGGAATTGATACAAAGGAAAAGATAAGTAATCCCATATAATTATGAGCAAGTTAGATCCAGAGAAGAGTTGAAAAAACATACCTCTCTCCCTGCATTGAAGGGGAAAGCATTTTGTCAGACATAAATGATACTTTGATTGGGTTTTTGTGTCCTCCCCCCCACACTTTTAAGGAAAAAAAAAAAAAGACTTTGTTATAAGGCATAGTCCATTGGGTAAGGGAGGTTATACTTAGAAGTTCAGAATTTAAGTCCCAAAAGTAGCAATTAAGACAAGAAACTTAAAAAAAAAAAAAGCAATCCAGAGTTGAAGCCATTCTAAGTATCCCCTACTGTTCCTTGGTATTCTTGGCCAACATATCACATAAGTAATATCTAACATCTGGATGGAACATGCCAAATAGATATATTCAAGGATAATATGTATCTTTGTCCTTGAACTTCCAGGTATGTCACTGTTTTCCTTTCTTTTTAGAAGAGTTCTTATCCTGCTAAAGTTTGAGAAAATCGATGTCTTTAATGTAAAAAATGTTTTACTTCTCATATGTACTAACCTGGATTGTATGTAAATTCAATGCATGTATCAAATTCATAATTTACAATTTCCCCAGAGAAAATTAGATTAGTAAATAAACTTTAAAAAAAATAGAAGCTGCCAGAAACTGTACTAGGATTTTAGTTCTGGAACTCTTTGCTACCCAATGTTCCATCATGGTAACAATGCAGGCAGTATGGAGGAAAGAATTACAGGCAAATAGGTATTTAGATCTTCTCTAGAAGAGAATCATTTAATCCTCCATGCTTTCCACTTGTTTCCCCTCATTCACTCTAATTACCAACCCTATCCATTGGCATCCCTCCCTGCCCATCCCCACATCAAACACTATTCCACCAAATATCCATTATGAAAAAGTTCTTAAAGGTTTCCCAAAAATCATACAGAAGAGATATGCTCTTGACAAGTATTTATTCTTTCGTCAAAACTATAGCATTTTGTCTTATCAATTTTTTGTCTTCACTTCCAGCTAACATTTATACTAATGGATTTTTTACTTCAACAGAAGCAAATACATCTCATTTAAACAAAAATTCACTTCCTTGAGGCATATTAAGAACTCCAAAATATATATTACATTTATAATTAAAAAAAGATTCAATAGTGCTCCAAAGCCTACTTATTACAATGATACTTATCAGAACATGCTAATTCTACCCAATATATTTCATATAGAACTAGACATCGATATATCCAAAGTTTATTGTACAAAGCCTTTCCGAAGACCCAGTTGGACTCAGCATGAATGTTGTCCTGAAGTTCTAGGCTTTTAGTTTTTTCCCCTACAACAATACGCTAACGACAAGTACATTTTGTTGCTATCATGTCTTCATATTCTTTATAAGCGATAGAGCCATCAGGCTCAATAGTCAAGACACTCAAGGGGCTGTATTTAGCAGGCACACAAGAAGGCCTTGGGATGGAGGAGTCCAGCTTCTCATAGATTATGTTTTGCACCATAGTATGGACAGGAGAACCATACCGATGCCTAACGAGCCTGGGACAGTCACCTTTGCAGTAGCGAGGATTGTATCTGTGTGGTGCCACAATCCAGCTGTCCCACTTTAGCTGGCTAAAGCTCAGTTTAAAGTCATGGAGCTCACACTCATTCTCAGGAAACAGAAATTGTTTGAAATATTCACTCAGGTTGTTCGAGTCTAGCATTTTGGGACTCTTTGCTTTGGGGTGTCCAATTCCTTCATCTCTTCGGTGACGAGAAGATTTTCTGCCCCAGATCAATTCTTCTTCCATAGGATCTCTCTGGTAGGGGAACAGTTGGTGCCTTCCTTTGAATCTTAGGGAATTCCATCTATGGTAAGCCTGAGCACTTGTGTCATTCAGATATACTAATAGTGATGGGGCCATTAATATGGCCATGTCAAATAACTCATCCTGATCTTTGTAACAAGTAAAATTCACAGCTATGTGGATATTTCTCTTGTTGGAGGCAACTAGTGGCTGAAGCAAAGTGGTCACATCTATTTCAATCCACTTGTGATTTTTTCTAAATTCAAACTGTAAATTAGAAGACTGTGGAGACCTGAAACAAGGCGGGCTAAAACATTCAGGTTCTTTTACAACTAGGTAGCACATACACTTAGTGGTGGAAGAAAAATAAACCAAGTTTTTCAAAGAGTATAGCAAAACAGACTTGAGTAAGTGTTCAGGAGCAGTAATACGGTCCAGGTTAAAGAGCAAATCCATTGATTGAAGAACTCCTAAATGAAAAAAAAAACCACCACAGGTGCTTCAATACAAATGAGGCACAACATTTAGAAATCAAGTCAAATGGACGTAATGGCAACAGTTAACACTTGATATACTCTCCATTTTCCCTCCAGGTAGGGGAGAAGGGGGGAATCAGACACTCTCAAAATGGCCTTACACAATAGTGACAAGGTAAAGGACATTTAATAGTATATTCATTCCCAAAACACTTGATAGCTTATCACCAAGAAAAATAACTGACAACTTTGGTGCTCAATGAAAGCAATCAGACTGTTAGACTCTAGAGGTGGAGATTATTCTCACATGAAGAGAAACTAGAAAGGTGGGGAGGGGGGACTAGATGAGCCCTACAGTTTCCATTGACTTTAAAAGCCATATTCTCTTACGTACACTTTATCCAATGTCTGTTTTGCTATTGAAACGGATAAATGGGTTTCTTTGCTTTAAAAAAAAAAAACAAACAAACAAACCTGATTCCAGCTTATCTTGGCATAGGAAAATTAAAAATTAAAAAAAAATAGGTAAAGACAGGAATCTTTTGATAGAAAAACGGGTGTTAGGTATATCTCTATCCTTGGGTCTTAAGGGAAAAATATACATATTCTATACAAAATTGAACAATTAATATCTGAATCAAGGACTCAGATGAAACTGTATGATCAATTCCCTTTCCTTCTCCCCTCTAGAACACCTCTCCCCTCTCAGTCATAGCCTAAGAGGGTTTGCTGCTACACACCTGTGACTTGGCCCCAAGAGGGCTGTTGGTGCTGGGCACTTGGTGTAAATAGACGGACAGTGTTGTAGAGATGACTTCTGTCAGATTTAGGAATTCCTTCCTTGGTGGCATATGTTTTATAAAGCCTCTTCATGTAACGCAGGGCTATTGAATCAGGTTGTAGCCTCGGTGCCCCAGGAAGATGACTGTTGACTAAGACCTTGAGGAGGGGTGGAAGGAGATCAGGGCTATTTTCTCCATCTAGAGGCTGATCCCAGGGCTGAGGTTTAGTCTCAAGGGACGCTTCCCCACTTGTTGAAGATCCAGCTTCATCCTCAAGGGTTTGAGACCCAAGGCTAAAGGAGGAAAACATCCAAGCTGAGCAGCAAAAGTAGAGGATAAACATGGTGGTCATTTCCATAGCTTGGGGAGAATTAACAAGGCCCGCATCTCCCCATGCCTGGTTACTCTCTAAAGCACCGAGAGGTCCTAACTGCTCTCTTTAAAAAGTTTAAGGTGGGGTGGAGGGAGGGGCTAGATGACAAGGGCGCCCAGCTGTGGGGATAACTTTTTCAGCTCTATTTAATGTCAACATGTAGGCCAGAAAAGCCATTTCACAGACTTTCAAAAAAGCAAAGATCTGTTAGGTGCTAATTCTCCCGGGAGATTTAGCACAGAACCGTTCTTTGTAACGTGTGATAGCTTAATCTAGTGGCCAACGAGATTAGGTAAGAGGCTTAATGTTTGGGGTCCTTTTCCACGTTTATCCTTAACTCATTTTGAAATTTTTAACTGTTCCTTTTGGTATTTGGATGCTCAGCTACAGATTTTCTGATTTTGAAAAGTCTTGACTGTAATATGGCATGATTAAACAAAAGGTTGTTTTGGCATCTGAATGGTGGTGAATGTCCCCTGGGAGAATTTCTCCTAACAGTTTTAAATGAAGTTGAGTATCTATGCTCTTGGTATAACGCTTGGAGGAGGCTGGACATTATGTTTCTGAAAATGAGTCAAAGAACACCTCTAAGAGCTTACGTTAAAGTTTGAGATATACAGTGCTACTCTGGAAAAAAAGTTAATTTCTGGAAGGCAAGCATTATACTCCAATACTACAAAACATAGAACCAGTTTATTTGTTACTCAGATAAAACTGGTATATTATCAGAATCTTTAAGTTCATTGCCTGAAAAGCTCAGAAAAAGTCTCTCTTCATAAACATGAACCTTCACTGGTAAGCAGATTTGTCTTGCGGTATAAAGCTTGGGGCTGCACATTTAATTTAATTATTTTAATTGTATTTTAATACAATGAAAATTCTGAATCAAATTGAACTGTATCAATATTTACATATTCATAAAATGCTGCGATAGAGGCAGTAGAGCATAGTGGATAGAGAGAGAAGGCCACAGCCAGAAAGACATGGATTCCAGGACCATCTCTGAAACAAGCTGGCTGTGTGATGTTGGGCAAATCACTTAACTTCTCAGTGCCCAGGCAAGTCCCTAAGATTATAAATTGCAGAACAGGTGCCCACCTGTATCAGTAAAGAGAGCCTCCTTTCCAGCTGTCTCCTAGAACAATTAAATCACAGGCCTGCCTCCCCCTTCATCATTCTCCTCCCCCGCAAAAGACCATCACTATGGTATGACTTATTTGAGATGCTTTTTGAACAACCAGCCATCACAACTGAAAAATATATAATATTTTAATGAATCTATAATCACTATTCCAAAACTATTCTTCTCTCCTCAAGTCTCCCACACCACCTCCTGTCCCTTCCTCTCAGCAGAGGACCTCGCCTCATACTTTACAGAGAAAATCAAAGCCTTTCTACCTCTTCTATTGAGCACCTCAAAATCCCATTCTTTCCGCCTTTGCTCCATTCTCTGATAAAGAAGAAACCCTTCTCTTTGTCAGAGTCAACCCCTCTACTTGTAACCTTTATCCATTACTTCCCATCTCCTCTGGAAAACTGTCCCCACAATAATTCCCTCTTCCCCTCTCTAATTTTTAATCTTTTTCCCTGTTGCCTAAATCTTACCTATCCCTAAATAACCTTCACTTGACTCTCCCACGTCCTCAAGCTATCATCCTATGTCTTTCCTCTCCCATCTCAACTCCTAGAAAAAACTTTCTACACTGTTAATCCTTTCCTCTTACTTCTCAGTCCTTTATAATCTTCTGACTTCATCATTCTACTACGACTGCTTTCTCCAAATTACCAATTATCTTTCAATTGCCAAATCTAGTGGCCTTTTCTCAGTTTTCACCCTTTTTGACCTTTCTGCAGCATTTTATACTGGTGACCTACCCCTTCTCCTGGACATTCCTTCAGCACTAAATTTTCATGGCACTGCCCTAATAGTTCTTCTACTGACATGCCTGCTCCTTCTCAATCTTCCTTGCCAGATCATCAGGGGGTTTTGTCCCCTAAACATGGATATCCTCCACAACTCTGTCCTGGGCTCTATTTTTTCTATACTCTCTTGGTGATTTCATCAGCTTTCATGGATTTTACTCTCATCTGTATACAGATGACTCTCATATCTACATAAACAACCCCACTAAGTGCCAGTCTGGTACTGTCAACTGCCTATTGGATATTTCCAGTTGGATGTTCAGTAGTTACCTCACACCTAAAATGTAAAAAGATAATTTATCTTTCCCCCAAAAAACCTTCCCCCTTTCCCAACATCTCTATTTCTGTTGAGGCCTACACCATCCTGCCAGACACAGGGTCATTCATCCTTGAAGCTGACCCCTGCCTTCCCCCACAGATCCACTCAGTTGAGAAATTTTGCCATTCCTATCTCCACAACACCCCCCATGTCTAGCCCTTTCTCTCTATTTGTCCCACCACCGTCCTGGTTCAGGCCCTCATCACCTCCCACCTGGAATACTGCAATAGTCTCCTAATTGATATCCTTCTATCAAATCTTTTTCCTCTCCAAGTCATCCCCTGCACAGCTGCCAAGTTGATATTTGTAAAGCACAGATCTGACCCTGTCCCCTTCCTGTTTAATAAGCTCCAGTGGCTTCCTCTGGCCTCCAGGCAATAAAGTCTCCTTTGGGTCATTTAAAGTCTTTTACAGTCTGGCTCCAGCTTACATTTCCAGGCTTATTACATATTATTTCCCTTTATGCTAACTATATTTCAACCAAATGTGCCAATTTGTCCAATCAACTTGATAGGATTAGAGGGTGTGATGTGCTTTGGCCAGGACCTACATCATGCCCCATTGAAATGCATATTCCTAGGGTATGAGAATAGTAAGAACTTAAAGATGAAGGGGGGAGGGAGATAGAAAGACAAGGTTGAAAAAGGTAAAATACACATGACTCAAATCACATGGACCCTATCTTGACTATTGCCTGAGCAACCCCTGGGCTGATTTTAGCATCCAGGATTTGGGAATTAAAGTAATTTCAGGGAGAGGGGAAATTGATTTTTTTTAACTAGTCAGTCATAAAGCATTTATTAATGTCTGGTACTGTGCTATGCATAATACTATGTGACAGGTACTGTGCTAAGCACTGGGGTGCCGAGAAAGGCAAAAACTTTGTTCCTGCCTTCAAGGAACTCATATTTTAACAGGAAAAGTACTTTCAGGTATTTCTGATGAAAAAATCAGAGCTGTCTTCTCAGCACTACAAAGATCCACAATTCCAAAAGATTTATGATGGAAAATGCTAACCATATCCAGAGAAAGAACTGTGGAGTTTGGATGCAGATCAAAACATACTATTTTCACTTTTTTTTGTTTTTTGTTTTTTGTTTTTTCTTTCTTGTGGCTTCTCCTTTTTTCTTTTACAACATGACTAATGTGGAAATGTTTAATATGATTATATATGTATAACCTATATCAGATTGCTTGCTGTCTTGGGGAAGGGAAAGGGGAGGGAGGGAGAAAAATTTGGAACTCAAAATTTTACAAAAATAAATGTAGAAAACTATCTTTGCATGTAAGTGGGAAAAAATACTATTATAAAAAAAAGAAAAGATCAGTGCTGAAAATACAACCTTGAAAGGCAAAAGTCCAGAGAAAAACAGAAAGACAAATTTATTTAAGCAATTGGAAGGCACTATATGGTGATGTAATGTTGATATTCAAAGAGGGAGAGGAGAAACAAGTTTCTTTACAGTGCCTTAAGGTCTTCAAAGGGTATTAAGGGAGTTAAATAAGAAAAATTGAATTTCTGAGGGTAGATTGATCTGTGCTGAGAGTTTAAAGTGGGAAAAGAGAAGAAGAGTTAAAGCAATATACTACTGTAGAAAGGAGGAAAAATAGGGTAAAACACGCTAATTCTCATTATTGGGGTACATGAGAAAAATGTTAAAAACATGGACAAAAGGGTAGGGGGAATGGACATCAAATGAACCACACTCTTATCGGAAATGAACAAAAAAAGGTTGAATACATACATATATTTTGGTGTAAAAATATACAAAATGCAACAGTTTGGGGAAACTATATTAAAGTTATATCAAAATATAGCAAACTCAACAAATGGGAATAAGGAGGAGGAGGTTAATAACCCAGAGGAACAATGACAAACAAATAAACTTGTGATCCCAAAGGGGAAATTAAAAGTGGGGTGAGAAAGGAACTATAATGAGATGCCTTAGATTGCCTCCTAGACCATTGGGAAACAGCAGAACAAAATATGATATATGAATATAGGAATATTATTACATCAGAAGAAATGATGAAAAATTATTTCAGAGAATCCTGGGTAGTATGAACTGATGCAGAGTGAAGTGAGTAGAATCAAGAGAAAAATTTTTACAAAGACAAAAATATTGTAAAGAAAAAGAATTTTGCAAGTTTTAGAACCTATGATGAAATATATTACCTACCTCCCGAGTCTATGTGTAGAAAGAGACATATATTTTTGGACATGGCCACAATATGGATTAATTTTGCTTGACTATGCTTACCTGTTACAACTTTTTTTCTCTTTCTTTTTGTTAATTGTGGGGGGGTTGGAGGATTAGCCATAGTGATGCCAAAAAAAGAGAGCCAATGAAACATTTTTTTTTTAATGTGTAGAGAATAGATACAAAAAGTCACACTGTAAACAAATTGAAAGAGCAAGGAAGAAATTATTTTTTGGATGAATGATAGAATCACATAAGATGGACATTTTTGATTATATAGCTCCACAGTTGGATACATGACTTAGATATAAAAGGTTACACCATAAACAAATTAAAGTAGCAAGGATAGCACCAGCCCTGGAGTCAGGAGGACCTGAGTTCAAATCCAGCCTCAGACCAAACACTTGACACTTACTCTGGGCAAGTCACTTAACCCCAATTGCCTAAATAAATAAATGTCATTTTAAAAAAAAATTACCTTTTCCATCTATGAATAGGGTTCATGACTAAACATGTAATGGGATCAAACAAAATAAAATGGA